TTTCCCCATTTTTCCAGGTTTTCCTGATCAATCTCCGGCGCCGCTCCGACCGTCGGACGCGAATGCTGCGAACGCTGCGGGAACTGGGGATCGACCCCAAACTGGTGGAGGCCGTGGATGGACGGTGGGAATTTGGGACAAAATTCCCAGATTTTGGGAAAATTTGGGAATTTTGGGAAAAATTAAAAAAAAAAAGGAGAAAATTGGGTGAAATTTGGGATTTTTAGGGCATTTTTTCTGTGATTTTTGGGAATTTTTAAGGAAGTTTTGGGACTGGGAATTGACCCCAAACTGGATGGATGGTGGGAATTTGGGGGAAAATTCCCAAATTTTGGGAAAATTTGGGGTTTAATTTTGGGAAAATTTGGGAATTTTGGGAAAAATTGGAAAAAAATTGGGCAAATTTTGGGGTTTTTAAGGGGATTTTTCAGTGATTTTGGGGGATTTTTGGGGTCAATTTTTTTGCATAAATTCCCAGGACTTTGGGGTTTAATTTTGGGAATTTTTTGGTGAATTTGGGGAATTTTCAGTTTAATTTTGGGCTGAATTTTGGAGTGAATCTTGGGGTGAATTTTGGAATTTTGGGGTGAATTTTCCGCGTTTTTTTTGCATTTTTGAGGAGAATTTTGGGGTTTTTTGGGGTATTTTTTGGAATAAATTCTCCGGATTTTTTTGGGGATAATTTTTAATGAACTTTTCTTTAATTTTTGGGTTGAAATCTGTAAATTTTGGCTCAGATCCCTGAACAGGAGCCAGCTGGAGGCGCTGGGGGTGCGGATGCTGCCGGGATATCTCTGATTTTGGGGTCAATTCTTGAGATTTTGGGGTTTAATTTTGGGAATTTTGGGGTCAAATTTGGGAATTTTTGAGGTAAATTTTGGGATTTTGGAATTTTTAATTTTTTGGAGTGAATTTTGAGGTGAATTTTGGAAATTTTGGGCTGAATTTTGAGTTGAACATCCCAAATTTTTTGTGTTTTTGAGGTGAATTTTGGGGTTTTTTGGGGCGAATTTTGGCGTAAAATTTCTGAATTTTTTTTTTAATTTTTCGGGATGAATTTTTCTAATTTTTGTGATGAATTTTTGGGTTAAATTTTGGGTTTTTTGGCTCAGATCCCTGAACAGGAGCCAGCTGGAGGCGCTGGGGGTGCGGATGCTGCCGGGATATCGCGATCCCTTCCACGGCCGAGCGCTGACCCCGGGAGAGGTCGGCTGCTTCCTCAGCCACTTCCGGGTCTGGCAGGAGGTAAAAATGGGAATTTTGGGAAAATTCGGGAATTTTGGGAAAATTTGGGGTCCAGGGAATTCAAGGAGTTTTGGGGATTTGGGGATTTTGGGGGATTTTGGGGGAATTTGACTGCTTCCTCAGCCACTTCTGTGTCTGGCAGGAGATAAAAAATGGGAATTTGGGAAAAATTTGGGAATTTTGGGGGTCCAAGGAATTCAGAGAATTCCCAAAATCCACAAATCCCAAATCCTGAAATCCCCAAATTCCCAGATTTCGGGGCGGGGCCTGGGCCGCTCGTTGGTTTTCGAGGACGATCTGCGCTTTGAGGTTTTCCCCGATCCCGAAATCACAAAATCCCCAATTTTTAATCCCAAATTTCCCAAAATCCCAGATTTCTGATCCCAAATTTCCCAAAATTCCCAAAATTTCCCCAAATTCCCAGATTTCGGGGCGGGGCCTGGGCCGCTCACTGGTATTTAAGGTTTTTCCCCATCCCCGAATCCCAAATTTTTGATCACAAATCTCAAATTTTTGGTCCCAAAATTTTCCAAAATTTCCCAAAATTCCCCAAAATTCCTGAATTTCCCCAAATTCCCAGATTTCGGGGCGGGGCCTGGGCCGCTCGTTGGTTTTCGAGGACGATCTGCGCTTCGAGGTTTTTCCTGATCCCAAAATCCCAAAATCCCCCATTTTTAATCCCAAATTTCCCAAAATCCCAAATATCCGATCCCAGAATTCCCAAATTTCCCCAAATTCCCAGATTTCAGGGCGGGGCCTGGGCCGCTCGTTGGTTTTCGAGGACGATCTGCGCTTCGAGGTTTTTCCCGATCCCAAAATCCCAAAATTCCTGATCCCAAATCCCAAATTTCCCAAAATTTTCCAAAAATTTCCCAAAATTCCTGATTTTCCCCAAATTCCCAGATTTCGGGGCGGGGCCTGGGCCGCTCGTTGGTTTTCGAGGACGATCTGCGCTTTGAGGTTTTTTCTTGATCCCAAAATCCCAAATTTTTGATCTCAAACCCCAAATTTTCAATCCCAAATCCCGAATTTTTGATCCCAAATTTCCCAAAATTCCCGAATTTTTCCCAAATTCCCAGATTTCGGGGCGGGGCCTGGGCCGCTCGTTGGTTTTCGAGGACGATCTGCGCTTCGAGGTTTTTTTCCGGCGCCGTCTGACGGAGCTGATGGAGCGACTGGAGGAGACTGGGACGGACTGGGACCTCATGTGAGCCTTTGATATCATCCCAAAATTATCCCCAAAAATGATCCCAAATCCCAAAATTATCCCCAAATTCATCCCCATCCCAAAATTCATCCTGATCCCAAAAATCGTCGTTGTTCCGATCCCAAAATTCACTTTTTTTTATCCCAATCCTGATCCATTGGGACCTCATGTGAGCCTTCACCATCCCAAAAATGATCCCAAAAATGACCCCAAATACCCAAAATTATCCCAAATCCCAAAAACTATCCCAAAATTCATCCCTATCCCAAAATTTATGGTCTTTGTCCCAAATCCAGGTCCACTGCCGTCATTGATCACATTGATCCCATTGATGTCATTGATCCCATTGATCCCGTTGATCCCAATCCCATTGATCCCATTGATCCAATCCCAATCCCATATATCCCATTGATCCCATTGATCCCATTGATCCCATTGATCCCGTTGATCCCAATCCCATTGATCCCATTGATCCAATCCCAATCCCATATATCCCATTGATCCCATTGATCCCATTGATCCCATTGATCCCGTTTCCAGCTACCTGGGCCGGAAGCGTTTGGAGCCGGAGCGGGCGGAGCGCGGCGTTCCCGGTGTGCGGCAGCTGCTCCGCCCGGGCTATTCCTATTGGACGTTGGGATACGCTCTGTCCCGATCCCATTGATCATATTGATCACATTGACCTTATTGACCTCATTGATTTCAATTGTTCCATTGATCCTATTGATTACATTGATCTCATTTAGCCCATTGGTTCCATTGATCCTATTGATGCCATTGATCCCATTGACTTCATTGATCTCATTGATCACACTGGCCTCATTGATCCCATTGACTCTATTGATCCCATTGACTCTATTGATCCCAATGACCTCATTGATCCCCTTGACCTCATTGATCCCAATGACCCCATTGATTCGAGTGATCTCATTGATCCCATTGACCTCATTGATCTCATTGGTCCCATTGATCCCATTGACCTCATTGATCCCGTTGACCTCATTGACCCCATTGATCTCATTGGTCCCATTGATCCCATTGACCTCATTGATCCCGTTGACCTCATTGACCCCATTGATCTCATTGATCCCATTGACTCCATTGACTCCATTGACTCCATTGATCCCAATGACCCCAAACCCGATCCCATTGATCCCAATGACCCCAAATCCAATCCCAATGACCCCAAATCCCATTGATCCCATTCCCATTGATCTAATTCCCAGCTACCTGGGCCAGAAGCGTTTGCAGCCGGAGCGGGCGGAGCACGGCGTTCCCGGTGTGCGGCAGCTGCTCCGCCCGGGCTATTCCTATTGGACGTTGGGATACGCTCTGTCCCGATCCCATTGATGACATTGATCCCAATGGTTCCATTAATGCCATTGATCCCAATGACGCCATTGATCCCATTGGCGTCATTGATTTCAACAGTTCCATTGATCCTATTGATTCCATTGATCCTATTGACTTCATTGATACTAATGGTTCATTGATCACATTGACCTCATTGACCTCATTGATCTCATTGATGCCATTGATGCTATTGATTCCAATGACTCCATTGATCCTAATGACCTCATTGACCTCATTGGCCCCATTGACCCCATTGACCTCATTGATCCAATTGATGCCATTGATCCAATTGACCTCAGTGATCCCATTGATCTCATTGATCCCGTTGACCCCATTGATCCCAATGACCTCATTGATCCCATTGACCCCATTGACCCCATTGATCCCATTGACCCCATTGACCCCATTGATCCCAATGACCTCATTGATGCCATTGATTCGAATAACCCCATTGATCTCATTGATCACATTGACCTCATCGATCGCATTGATCCCAATGACTCCATTGATCCAATTGATATCATTGACCTCATTGATCTCATTGACTCCATTGATCCCATTTCCAGCTACCTGGGCCGGAAGCGTTTGGAGCCGGAGCGGGCGGAGCGCGGCGTTCCCGGTGTGCGGCAGCTGCTCCGCCCGGGCTATTCCTATTGG